CACAGGGGCCTGGTAAGTAGTTAATGAGTTGTGTTTTGGATGATCACTGACGAGGCTTCACACCGAGAAATGGTGCATTAAATTCAACAAAAATGACACAATTAAAATGTGGGAAGATTCAGCACTTTGTTTTGTTATTTCGTTAAGATTTTCCTCTTTGTTCCCTATATACATACATAGCATTTTTGTTGCTTATTTTGATGTACCAGGCCAGGTTACATTTTGGGATCTGATTAGTCCAATATTACTATCAGCTGGGATCCTAACACGATTACTTTGTCCTATTCCTCCACTGTGAAAACAGATAGAGGTATTTTTGTAACAAAACTTCCATATTATAGTCTCACCTGCACCAATCTTTAATAGGCCACATTCTCCTTCTCAATATATTTAAAATACATACTACTCTTTCTCAATATATTGCTTTAACTTTTGATGGTATCAGTCTTTTTAAGGTTCCTTTTTCTTTCTTTATTTTCCTTCATTGCTTTTTATAGCTTCCCCACCTCTGCTGGATTCGCACTCTCCTAATCTTGACATTTGTGTAACTTTGGGGATGAATATCCCTGAATATTTTTAACCGGAAAGAGCCTCCAAGCCAGCAAAGCCTGACTTTAGTTCAAGATGGCAACTTGATTAAAGATTTGGAGTGTGCATTAGGAATGGTAGTCCTAAAGATCAAGACTCGCATTGTCAAACCATCTGTAAGCATTCATTCAAGATTCTGAACATTGTTCTGTTATCTATGGCTTTGATTAACAACCCTTTCATAGAAACGTAGAAGATCGGAACAGGAGTCAGTCCTTTGACTCCTTGAACCTGCTGTGTCATTCAATATGGTCATGGCTGATCATGGAGCTCAATAACCTAATTCTGCCCTCCTTCTATATCCCTCATTTAGCCACAAGAACTATATCTATCTCCTTCTTGAAAACACAATGTTTTGGCTTCAACTATTATCTGTGGTAATGAATTCCAAAGGCTTCCTACTTTCTGGATGAAGAAGTTTCTCCTCGTCTCAATCCTACAAGTTTTACCCTTTATCCTTAAACTATGATTCCTGGTTTTGGACTCCCTCATTATTGGGAACATCCTTCCTGCGACGAACCTATCCAGTCCTGTTAGAATGTTATAGGTTTCTATGCAATCCTCACTCATTCTTCTAAATTCTAGTGAATACAATCCTAAACGACACAATCTCTTCTCACATGTCAGTCCTGCCATCCCAGGAATCAATTTGGTAAACTTTTGCTGCATCCCTCTATAGTAAGAACATCCTTTCTCATGATCCCCTCCAATGTCAGCACATCCTTCCTTAGAAACAGGACCCAAAACTGCTTGCAATATTCCAAATGCACTCTGACCAGACTCTTAGCAGTATATTTCTGCTTTTGTATTCTAGCCCACTTGAAATGAATGCTAACATTGCATTTGCCTTCCTAACTGTCAATGAATTTGCATGTTAACCTTAAGAGATTCCTGAACAAGGATTCCCAAATCCCTTTGTGCTTTCAGATTTCTGAAGCCTTTCCCCATTTAGAAAATAGTTCAACCCTCTATTCTTCCTACCAAAGTGCATAACCTCACCCTTTCCCATGATGAATTCCATCTGCCCGTTCTTTGCCCATTCTCCAAGCATGTCCAAGTCCTTCTATCGCCTCCCCACTTCCTCAACACTACCTGTCCCTCCACCAACCTTTGTGTCATCTGTAAATTTAACAACAATGCCCTCAGTTCCTTCATTCAGATTGTTACTGTATAATAGTGGTCCCAACACTAACCCCTGTGGAATTCTACTAGTCTGCCATCCTGAAAAAAAAACCTTTATCCCTACTTTCTGCCTTCTGCCAGGCAGCTAATCCTTAATCCATGCCAGTACCTTGTCCCTAACACTATGGGCTCTTATCTTATTTAGCAGTGTCCTGTGTGGCACCTTGTCAACAGCCTTCCAGAAATCCAAACAGATTACATCCACTGTCTATCCTTTGTCTAACTTGCTAGTTACCTCTACAAAGGATTCTAACAGAATTGTTAGGCATGACTGAGGGGTAACTTTTTCATGCAGAGTGTGCTGCGTGTATGGAAAAAGCTGTCAGAAGTGGTGGAGGTGGATATAATTACAGTATTTAAAAGGCATCTGGATGAATATAAAAATATGAAAGGTTTAGAGGGATATGGGCCAAATGCTGACAAATGGGACTAGGTCAGATTGGGATGGCTGGTCGGCATGGACAAGTTGAACCGAAGGGTCTGTTCCCGTGCAAAACTGCACAAAATATTCCAGCCTCACCAATATCCTGATACTTGCAGCAGGACATTCTTGTTCCTGTACTTGAATCCTCTTGCAATGAAGGCCAGCATATAGTTCACCTTCTTCACTGCCTGCTGCATCTGCATGTTTACTTTCAGTGAATGGTGCATGAAAACACCCAAGTTTAATTGAAAACTTACCCCTTTCAATTTTCAGCCATTCAAATAATAATCTGCCTTCCCATTTTTGCAATCAAAGTGGATAACCTCGCAGTTATTCACATTATTACTGCTTCTGCCATGCATTTGCCCACTCACTCAGCCTGCCCAAATCACACTGCAACATCTCTATATTCTCTTCATAACTCACCCTTCTACACACATTTGTGCCATCTACAAATATTTAGATATTACATTCAGTTCCCTCACCTAAATCATTAACATATATTGTGAATAGCTGGCGCCCAGTACCAAGCCTGTCATATCTCACTAATGATTGCCTGCCATTCAGAAAATGACCCATTTATACCTATTCTTTGTTTCCTGTCTGCTATGAATTTTCTACCATCTCAATACATTACCCCAAAACACATCCGTTTTAATTTTACACATTAATTTCTTATGTGGGACTTTGTTGAAAGCCTTCTGAAAGTCCAAATAAAGCACATCCATTGGCTCCTCCTGATTAACTTCATTAGTTACATCCTTGAAGAATTCCAGTAAATACGTCAAGCATGATTTCCCTTTTGTAAATCCTCTGAGAATAGATTATCAGGCCCTGGGGATTTATTTATCAGCATTTAATCCCATTTTCTCCATTGCCATTTCTCTACTAATACAGATTTGCTTCAGTTCCTCCTTTTGTCTGAGCCTTGTGTTTCCCATCATTTCCAGTATGTTACTTGTGTTCTCCTTTGTGAAGATAGAAGCAAAGTATGAATTTATTTCATCAACCATTTCTTTGTTCCCAATTATAAATTCGCCAGGATTTATGTTAGATTTTACCAATTTTTTTCTGTTTACATACCTATAGAAACTGTTACTGTCAGTTCTTGTGTTCCCCGCAAACTTACTGTCATGCTCTATTTCCCCTTCTTTATCAATCCCTTAGTTCTTCTTTTCTGACTTCTAAACTGCTCCCAATTCTCAGTTCTATTGTTTTTTTTCTTGCCAATTTGTATGCCTCTGTTTGCAACTAATACTATATCTAACTTCCCTCATAAGCCATGGTTTAGCCACTGTTTTCTCTGTACTCTTCCAGCAGATAGGAATAAATAATGTTTGTACCTCACTCATTCACTCTTTGAGTGTTTGCTATTGCCTATCCACTGTCATTCCTTTCTGTAACATTTTCCAATCCATCGAAGTCAACCTCACACCATTGGAATTTCCCTTATTAAGATTCAGTACCCTAGCTTAAGAAACAACTACCTCACTCTCCCTCTTGATGAATTCTTAATAGTGACCAGTATGAATTCATTGTTCAGGATTTCTAGAATCACTTACAGTCATGTTCAGCTTTCACTGCTCATTAGCTGTAATGTTTGAAGAGAACTTCTGAGATATAACAAAATGAGAAGCTTTTTTGGGGCACTTTGTCAGGACTTTACCAACACTTTAACAACATCCTTCCCAGAGTTCTTTCCCGGAAAACATGTACAGCTCCATGGAAATTGTGTTTAATTAGTCAGGTATCTGTTCTCGTGTCTCCAGGCACGCTACTCATTAAATAGCCCCAGAAATGTGGGATAAAACCAAACTTTCCAACAGTCATGTCTCATTAACACTTAGCTCCTGTTTTCATCCTTTCCCCAAACTAATCTGATTTCTTTTAGCTTCAAGCTATCTGTTGCCTCTTTTGAGTAGATTAAAGGACCTTGTTTGAAGGTAGTTTCGGAATGGGATGCAAACATACTGGGGATGAAATATTTCTTGGACAGTTACATAAAAATTGCAATGGTACACACTTTCTTTTGCAATGAACTAATTGCCATTGGGACAGGTTGTATAGTTAGGTGGGTTGGCAATATTCATTAAGTACAATGTAGAAGGGTGTTTTGTTGGGAACCTTCTTGTGGGCTCTCTCAGTTAACTACTTTTGCTTTGGTAGAATATCAGTAAAAACTGAAGGTATGTGTGTAAACTAATTTTCTGCAGTTGTAATACATCTGATTGAAAGAACACATGAAGAAATCTTGGTAAGACCCTTCATAAGCTTTACAACTACCATTTTTGCCCAGTATAGAGAATGCACATTAATACATTTGAGTTGCAACTCTGATGATGTATAAGACCAATAGTCTGGAATGTAGGAGAAAAATGAGGGAAATAGCATGGTGTTTTTCTATTACCTTGAAGATCAAGGCTAAAGTAGTATAAACCAAGATATTTTATCTGAGCTACAGTTATATACAAGGTGAAATTGGACAGATGAAAATTTGAGAGTTGCATTTAATTGATGGCAGCTCACTTTAACTGCAACTAATCTTCTTTTCAGGGAAACCATTTAAAAATGGGACTCCAGTTTACTCATTTTGCATTTTTACCAAAGTTTCACTGCACTCCTCCTAATTTTCAGTCCAAGGAAACAGTTTAGTCAGAAGAGCAATAATTATTTTTATATGGTGATGCTGTTGCTTAACTATTTCACTGAAGAATGGAGCAAGCTGAAAATATTACACTGTGCATTATCAGCTGTGTGTAAAGACCACTGACTTAAACCTGTTCTGATGAATATTTACATCTTGCAGATCCCAAAACACCCAATGTTCAAGTAACAAGATTGACCTTGGTCTGTGTGACTGCACCTGAGCCCATTTTCATGGATCTAACAGGTAAAATTTTTATTTAAGCTATGGTATTTCTCCTCCACTGAGTGTGACAGTGAGAGCCGTTGTTTTTAATATTGACATAAACAATATCAATTCATAACAAAGCAGCATGTTGTATATCCCTTATCTGTACTTCATTGGCCTTTGTGTAATGTTAATGTTAGAGATGTTCTTTAAATTATAGGTTAATCCTTGTGTTCATTCTTTTGAGTCATTGCAATTATAATTATAACCTGAACATTAAAAGGACGTCTTGAATTTCCCGATGACTCAAGGTACTTTTGAAATTTGTAGCTCAGGAAAGTCACACACTCCAATTTAATGCCTGGATGACTGGGTTGCAAAAACAACAAAAATCCAAGAAGACAGCTAAACATGTTTGCCTATCAAATCAAATATTCTTCATTCAAAGGATTATGAATCTTTGGAATTCTCTACCCCAGAGGATTGTGGTTGCTCCAGCTTTTAATGTATTTAAGGCTGGGATAAATAGATTTTTTAGTCTTTTAGGGACCCAAGAGATTATGGTGCATCGGCAAGCAAGTGCAGTCAACGTTGAAGATCAGTCGTGATCGCATTGAATGACGGAATGAAAAGAATTCTCATCAGCTCCCTCTTAAAAGATTGCCTCTTATCCTGAGACTATGTGCCCAAATTCTGAATTTCCCAGTGGAGTAAACAATCTCTTGGTGTCTACTCTTCAAGCTCCTTCAAAATGTTGCATGTCTCAATTAAAGACCATCAATCAAAACCCTTCTTTCTCACATGACTCTCTGAACCACATGTTTAATTCTGCGATTTGTTTGATCCTGTGCCAACTGGGGCATGGTTCAGGTAACAATGCAAGGATTATCACCTTTGAGGTTCTGTGCTTTAATTTGAACCTTATGTCCTCAAACGTGCTCGGCAGAACACAATTCCTAGTTTGTTGTTTGTTCCTATGTGAACCGTGACTGATGGATCTGTATCCTGAAAATCTGTTTGGCTCCATCCACAAAGAGATGTTCTTCACCCTGCTCTAGGGAACCCAGCAGGCAATACAACCATCAGAACTTTTGGTGTGGTTGCAGCGAACATAATCTATTCCCCTAACTATACTGTTGCCTATCGCCACCATATTCCTTTTCATTCTTCCTAATGGAATGGCAGACTGCAGCATGGTGTCATGGGCAGTTTGTTTTTTTCATACTGAAGTCCTTGTTTACACCTACACAAGCAGCAAGTACCTTACCTCTGTTGGTCAATGATAAGGGCTAAGACTCTTCATTCATTGTGTGCTGAAACCCCACAACAGCCTGACTTGCAGTCATTCCCAACCATTGAACAAATTTAAAGTTCCACTTAATCTAAGGGGTGAGACAGTCTGTTGAAGTAAAGTGTTCAGGTGACTCTCTGCCTCACTAATGCCCCCTGATATCTGCAACTTAAATCCAACCCAGCAAAAGTCACTCAAAATGCAGAAATTTACTGCAGATAAAGTTGTCTTTTTACATGTTGCAGTCATGACACACCATCATGACTTCCATGATCTGGCAGCACCTGTGAAGAAAAAATCAGAATTTACGTTTCGAGTCCTGTGACCCTCCGTCAGAACTAAGGAAGGGTCACCAGACCCGAAATGATAACTCTGCTTTTTTCTTCACGGAAGCTGCCAGTCCTGCTGAGCTTTTCCAGCAACTTCTGTTTTTGTTCCTGATTTACAGCACCTGCAATTCTTTCGGTTTTTATCATCCCTTCCATCTCTTTGTAACCTCATTTATTCAATTGGTCAATTAGTTATGAATTTAGTTTGCTAAAGTTATAGCAGGTTACAGTCTCCAATCCTGTAGACAAAGGTACACTCAACAACTACTGCAGGGCAGAAAAAGGTTGGAACAGCAGCTCCTCTTTCCGCCTCTGAACGGAAATTCATGACTTAGCACTCCATTCACAAGTATTTTATTTCTCCGTCACTCTGTACTTCCTCACTTGTGTGATAATAAAACCTGTCTACTTTTATAGAGAGCACGAGGCTCACACCCAAGCTGCAACTGCTAAATCTGTTTTCTGCGACAATAATTAGCATCTATTTAAGCAACCACTTTAAACTGTTTGATAGATAACCATCACTGCCACCAATTCAGTTTCTTAACAGCTTGCCCTTTCCAAGTTCTAAATTGGAGCCTGAATGTTAATCTAAATTACCGCTTGAGAAATACTTACCAGAGGGACCTCCACAAAGCAATTTCCTGATTTAGCACTCATTCAAAAACCTCTCTGTCCTTGGATCACTTTGTGCTCCTCCATTCTTCCAAACATCTAAAGTGTTGTATTTAAATTGATTACTGGATGTTCTCATTGGGAAATAGGCTGTTACTGTAAGGAAATTCCATACTTCAAGCATGGGACAATTCAAAAGCTTGAGCACAAAATCTAGATTGAAGCTGCAGTGCATTGTTATTCAAATGAGCCTTTAAATTGACCCTCATCCAGCCCCTTGAAGGATTTAAAAATCACCTGATATTAATTCTTCATTTCCGAAGAAGGGTCTAGGCCCGAAACGTCAGCTTTCCTGCTCCTCTGATGCTGCTTGGCCTGCTGTGTTCATCTAGCTGTACACCTTGTTATCTCAGATTCTCCAGCATCTGCAGTTCCTACTATCACTGAAACAGATTGTCTGATCATTACCACATTACTGGCTGTGTGGAAGTCAGTTGTTGTCTGTCCAGCAACAGTGATCACACTTCAGAAGTAATTAATAAAGGACTTTGCGCTGTCCTCATGGTTGTGCATAACACCATTTAAATAAAAGTTCTGTCATTTTTTTACAATCTCTGACTTGGAACTTTCTTAGTGGCTAGCAAAATTAACAAGAGCTCATGAGTTGAAAGAAAGATCATGTAATCTGTGCATGGAACTGGAACTGTCAGATCAAATGGCAATGAAATGAATCTAGAGGTACAATGAATTTATGTTTCATTGGATTTGGCAGCTGATGTGGCTGTGAATGATGGTTTCCAGTAATTGCTTATTTTCTTGTTTAGTATCCGACAAGAGCAAGTGCAAAGCTGAAGGAGATCATTATAAAAAAACTCATCCGAGTTGTTAGAAATTCAACTTTATCTAAACTGTCTTCTCGCAATGATGATTTCAGAGAATGTACTGTTTTCCATAGGTAATCAATCACTAGTTGATCATTTTAAAATGGATTTGTGGCAAATCAATTGTTATTTTACATAATCTGGAAATAGGTGTGCAAAGTATCTCTGCTTCTGATTTACATTGATGCAATAGAGTAGGGACAGCACTAAATCCTGTTAATGCTCGTGTGTGGACTCATTGCAAATCAAAATGTATTCTTGCCTTGTTTTGATAGAGTTAGGCTTGTCCATAGTTGTGGCTGTTGACTATCTCTCACAGCACTGCTCCAAGCACGGGGCTCAAAGTTGCATGGTGTTGTACTTGACCAAGTTCAGAAAGTTTTCAGACAGACAAACGTTGATTTAGGGGAATGGTGAATAGTCAGAGCCCAGTATATTTGTAGATTAGCCAGAAAACTGTGCAAATAAACAGCAGATTAGTCAGTGTTTGCGAAGAAAAAAGATAAATATGCGTTTCTACTAAAAGAGTCAATAATTGGGAAAAAAAGTCTGGTTCTCAAATGTTCTTTATGGAAGGAAATCTGCTATACTTACCTGGTCTGGTTTACTTGTGACTCCAGAGGCAGAGCAATGTGGTTGATTCTAAACTGCCCTCTAGGTAATTAAGATCAGGTAATAAATACTGGTCTAGCAAGTGACACCCACATCCCATGAATGAATTTATTCAAAATGTAACTGAGGGAAGAGATCATAAGTATTACTATGAGTATTTTTAATCAGAAAATGTGCATTGTTGTTACAGAATAAAATTGTATTACTATATATTTATTTTAAATTAAGCAAAGTGTGAAAGAGAGTACAGTGAGATAGAGTCTCAAACTGTTTTGGCTTACTTTCTTGTCCCTCTGAATAATACAGTTTAAAACTGGGGAGAACAAGAATCAAGTGTGGATTGAGTGAGAATGACCAATGAATGTTGAAATTCCTTTATTTGACTTTAAAACTGGAGACTTTTGTAGACTAAAAATGGATTTCTAAAGTTCAAATGCTGACCTAAAACAGCTACCTGGAAAAGTTGAGCCAACCAATCAGTAAACAAAGTTTGGTCTGAGCTGAAATTAACATTGTTATGAAAGGGCACTGAAACTTCACCCTGTATCTCATGGTTGAATTACAGCTTTCTGGAGGTTAAACATTACATATGTACAAACAGATGGAATAGCAGCAGAAATAGGCAAATAACCACTTCAAGCCTGCTTGGCTATTCAACAAGATCATGGCTGATCTGTTGTATTTCAAATTCCATATTCCCATCTACCCTCAATAACTTTTGATTTCCTTGTCTAATAAAATTCTACCTACTCTGTCTTAAAAAAATTAATGGCACCATCTCCGCCTCCTTCTGAGACAGACTGTCACACAATCCTCTGAAAGGAATAAATTCTCCTGAATGCTGCCCTAAAAGACCATCCTATAATTTTAAAACAGTGCCCCTAATAACCCTGGACTGATCCATAAGTGGAAACATCCTTTCCACAGCCAGTATATTTCAGCAAGGTCAGCTTTCATGCTCATTCAGTTACCCTTATTTAAGTTTAATATAATAGTCTTAGACCCAATCCTGTCCCTTTCAAACTGAATGTAAAATTTAATCATAGTGTGGTTGCTGCAGCCTAGGGATGCCATTACTCAGAGGCCAATGATTAATTCTGTCACATTATTTGTAAAGAAAGTATCATTTTTTTCTGTATTTTCAATTTTGGACTAAAATAGGCTAGGTTAAGACCAAGTAGACTTATTGCTGCACTTTTGAAAACAAATCACTGAAGCTCCTTGTGTGCAGTGTTCACTTTGCTGCTTTATTCAAACAATGGGGGAAGGATATCTATAGGTGGAATGGCACCAGGATGTGTGTCCAGAGTG